TTCTCGTATCCCCTTGCCTCCCATTGCTTCATCTACCCTAAATCTCTGTCCTTTACCCCCCATGCCCTGCCATTCTCCCACATCCCCCCATGCCTTCATTCTCCCCCATTCCCCCATGCCCTGCCATTCTCCCCCATCCCTCCATCCCCCCATGCCCTGCCAATCTCCCCCGTCACTCCATCCCCCCATGCCCCACACTGCAGTGACATCTCAGCCATCGCATTGAACGGCTCTGTTCCGCCCTTCTTTGGTCGCATGCCCAACCTGACCCACCTGTATGTATCGGCATGACCCACCTGTATGTATCGGCATGACCCACCTGTATGTATCGGCATGACCCACCTGTATGTATCGGCATGACCCACCTGTATGTATCGGCATGACCCACCTGTATGTATCGGCATGACCCACCTGTATGTATCGGCATGACCCACCTGTATGTATCGGCATGACCCACCTGTATGTATCGCCATGACCCACCTGTATGTATCGGCATGACCCACCTGTATGTATCGGCATGACCCACCTGTATGTATCGGCATGACCCACCTGTGTGTATCGCCATGACCCACCTGTATGTATCGGCATGACCCACCTGTCTGTATCGGCATGACCCACCTGTATGTATCGGCATGACCCACCTGTATGTATCGGCATGACCCACCTGTATGTATCGGCATGACCCACCTGTATGTATCGGCATGACCCACCTGTATGTATCGCCATGACCCACCTGTATGTATCGGCATGACCCACCTGTATGTATCGGCATGACCCACCTGTATGTATCGGCATGACCCACCTGTATGTATCGGCATGACCCACCTGTATGTATCGGCATGACCCACCTGTATGTATCGGCATGACCCACCTGTATGTATCGGCATGACCCACCTGTATGTATCGCCATGACCCACCTGTGTGTATCGGCATGACCCACCTGTATGTATCGGCATGACCCACCTGTATGTATCGGCATGACCCACCTGTATGTATCGGCATGACCCACCTGTATGTATCGGCATGACCCACCTGTATGTATCGGCATGACCCACCTGTATGTATCGGCATGACCCACCTGTATGTATCGGCATGACCCACCTGTATGTATCGCCATGACCCACCTGTATGTATCGCCATGACCCACCTGTATGTATCGCCATGACCCACCTGTATGTATCGGCATGACCCACCTGTATGTATCGGCATGACCCACCTGTATGTATCGCCATGACCCACCTGTATGTATCGCCATGACCCACCTGTATGTATCGCCATGACCCACCTGTATGTATCGGCATGACCCACCTGTATGTATCGGCATGACCCACCTGTATGTATCGCCATGACCCACCTGTGTGTATCGGCATGACCCACCTGTATGTATCGCCATGACCCACCTGTATGTATCGGCATGACCCACCTGTATGTATCGCCATGACCCACCTGTATGTATCGCCATGACCCACCTGTATGTATTGGCATGACCCACCTGTATGTATCGGCATGACCCACCTGTATGTATCGCCATGACCCACCTGTATGTATCGGCATGACCCACCTGTATGTATCGGCATGACCCACCTGTGTGTATCGCCATGACCCACCTGTATGTATCGCCATGACCCACCTGTATGTATCGGCATGACCCACCTGTATGGCATGACTCACCTGTATGGCATGACTCACCTGTATGGCATGACTCACCTGTATGGCATGACTCACCTGTATGGCATGACTCACCTGTATGGCATGACTCACCTGTATGGCATCACCCACCTGTATGGCATGACTCACCTGTATGGCATGACTCACCTGTATGGCATCACCCACCTGTATGGCATGACTCACCTGTATGGCATGACCCACTTGAATTTGAATGGCCACGACATGCCTATGTGCATGTATTTTTCCTATATGGACTTTGCATGCCTGTATGTAAACCACTATATTATTTCCCGTGCAGCATGTCCTGTTTTGACATGTCATGACAACTAATCTCAGCATGCCACGTCATGACATCTGATGTCAGCATGAGCCGCCCACCAAAGTCCCACAGCAGAGTCACATGGGGGCGTCCATCCTCGCCCATGCCATTATCGTGTATGTACATTTACCACCCATGGTACAATCGCCCCATGGCCCCATGACCCAAAACGAGGCCATCACATGCCCACCCCTTGACCTTGCTCGTGCCACGCCATGTCATCCCCATGCCACGCCACCCTGTGCCACGCCATGGCAGGGACATGGCCATCAACCTACTCTCCGGCTCACTGCCACCCTCGATCCTCAACCTGCGACAGCTCTCCCATCTGTCAGTCAACTTCCGTATCTATACCACCCATCAGTAATTTCAGCATCAGAACAGCAGCTTCTAGCAACCAGCCGTTCATCTTCACCGTTGGTCCTCATGTCATCTCACCTCCGCCCCTCTGCCCTCTCTCCCCCTGTCCTCTGCCACACAACTCACCATTCCAGCAACGTGTCTCGCAACCGCCTCTCAGGCCCGCTGCCCAACGCTGCTGCCAGTCCAGCTCTCATCATGTGCGTATGCCCTGGTAACCACAAGAACCCTCGTAACCACAAGAACCCTGGTAACCACAATATCTCTGGTAACCAAAAAGCCCTGGTAACTACCATTCCATTTGAATCTTGCGAGTAGGAACTCCCATCACCTTCCCTCTCCCTCCCCTTTCCCTCCTGCACCCTCCCTTTCCTTGTGCGTGGTTTCTCACCCGTCGCTTTTTCTTCTCCCATTTCCGCCCACCCACGTGTCTCTCTCTCTCCCTTCTACTCCCATCCATGCTCTCTCCCATATCTGCCTGAACACGCATTCAACACGCATCCAATACGCTCCCATCCCCTTCGCAGCGACCTCTCATTCAACGCGCTCTCAGGGCCGCTGGAGAGGCCCCATATCAACCTCAAGCGCCTGGCCATGCTGTGAGTGCCTGGCAATGCTGTGGGTGCCTGGCCATGCTGTGAGCGCCTGGCAATGCTGTGAGCGTGGGGCCATGCTGTGAGCGTGGGGCCATGCTGTGAGCGTGGGGTGGGGCAATGCTGTGAGTGCCTGGCAAGGCTGTGAGTGCCACCACATGCCGTTGCTCTTACTCTCATCAGCCCAGCTTCGCTGCTCGTGCTGTCTGAATCGTTTGTGCTCTTCTTGCTTTGCTTGCGTCCCCTGCCCCGCCATCGCGCATGCCTCCCCCCTGCTTCTTGTCCACCCACCCTTCATTCCTCCCCCCTGCCTCTCGTCCATCCCCCATGCGCCCTCTTGCTTTCCTGCCCGCCCAGCCCCCATTCTCCTCCTGCTTCCCGGCCGCCCATCCCTGCTCCCTGTCCGCTCATCCCTTCTTCCCGTTCGTTCCCCCCCCCCCCCCCCCCCCCTCCCGCCACCCTGCTTCCCGTCCTCCCCCCCCCCCTGCTTCCCGTCCTCCCCCCCCTCCTGCTTCCCGTCCTCCCCCCCCCCTCCTGCTTCCCGTCCTCCCCCCCCCTCCTGCTTCCCGTCCTCCCCCCCCCTCCTGCTTCCCGTCCCACCCCCGCTCCTGCTTCCCGTTCTTCCCCCCCCCCCCCCCCACCCCCCCTGCTTCCCGTCCTCCCCCCCCCGCGCCCTCCTGCTTCTCGTCTGCCCATGCCTGCAGTGTGCTGCACCACAACCAGCTGTCAGGCCCCATCCCCGAGTACCTCTGCCAATCCGTGCTGCAGATCATGTAACGCTCACATGCTGTAACGCTCACATGCTGTAACGCTCACATGCTGTAACGCTCACATGCTGTAACGCTCACATGCTGTAACGTCCACGTGCTGTACCGTTCACCCTGTGCACCATCCACCCTATGGAACGCGCTCACCATGTAATGTTTGGATGGTGTAACGCGCAGATGACTTAGCATTCACACAGTGTGGCATTCACACAGTGTGGCATTCACACAGTGTGGCATTCACACAGTGTAGCATTCAGGTTATGTTACCCTCAGGCCCAGTAGCAAGCAGGCAGGTATGAATGTGGGCATCCATGTCGAGAGATGCCCTGGTGACAATAAAGGCTTGCCATCCATGCATTGTCATCCATGCATGTCATCCGTGCATGTCATCCATGCATGTCATCCATGTCGAGAGATGCCCTTTATCGTGCGAGCAAAGGCTGGTGACAATGCGTTGCACAGGCGCCTTTGCGTTGCACTTTCACTCTGCGCTAGTTGCCTACTCCCTACTGCCATCCTTTTGGGTGCTGTCATCTACCCACACACCATCCATATTGCTTTCTTCCTTACCTTCCCGCTCCCCTCAACTCACCCTCTCTCTTTCTCTCGCGTTCTCCCATTGCCTCTTTTGCCCCATGTCTCCACCTGCCCACCTTCCCATGTGCCCGCCTGCCCCCCCTTCCACCTGCTCCCCCTTCCACCTGCTCCCCCTTCCACCTGCTCCCCCTTCCACCTGCCCATCATTCTACCTGCCCATCCTTCCACCTGCTCCCCCTTCCACCTGCTCCCCCTTCCACCTGCCCATCATTCTACCTGCCCATCCTTCCACCTGTTCCCCCTTCCACCTGCCCGTCCATCCACCAACCCGCCCTTCTACCTGCAGGCTCTTAAGCAGCAACGCCTTCTGGGGGGCCCTCCCTCAGTGCCTGCCCTTCCTCTCCTCCCTCCAACTCATGTCCGTATGCCCTTTCAACCTTTTCCCACCTTCACCCTTCGCCCTTCAATTTTGCCCCCTTCTCTCATCATCCTAACGTTGTCCTCGTTCCTCTTTGTCTCCGCTGCTCCTCTTGTCGCACTCTCCTTTGTAACCTTCGACCTCCAATCGTGCTGCGAATTCCGCTTCCTTACCTTTCAGGCCATCTCCGCTCCTGACCTCTCCTCTCCCCCTTGACCCCTGCTTCCCCTTACCCTGCACCTGTCTACCAGTGACGTCAGCAAAAATCTCCTCTTCATGGATGCCTCAACCTTCCAAAACATGCCGCCCATCAGCCTGGATCTCAGTGGAAACTACCTCTACGGCTCCCTCTCCCCTTCCCCCAACATCACCCTCTCCTCCTCCTCCTCCTCCTCCTCCTCCTCCTCCTCCTCCTCCTCCTCCTCCTCCTCCTCCTCCTCCTCCTCCTCCTCCTCCTCCTCCTCCTCCTCCTCCTCGCCCCCCTTCCCTTCTCTCGTCCTCCCAGCGACCCCCCAACCCCAGTCCCTCCCCCCCTGGGCAGTCCAGGATGCAACGAACTTTGAGTGGGCGTGGGTATGGCAGGGGGGGAAGCGGGGGACAACTGGAGAAGGAGGGGCAAGCGGCGCGAATAGCAGCAGCGCAGTGGCATGGCTGGCTGTGGAAGGGAACTGTGTGGGGAGTGAGGGGGTGGGGCAGCAGCGGGGGGCGGCAGAGTGTGCGGCGGTGTGTGGGATAGAGTCAGGGCAGGGACCCTGTGGGGGTGCAGGTGCGGGGCAGTGTGTGGTGCAGAGCGGTTGGCCGCCGTCCCTCTCCTGCTCCTGCGCCAGTGGCTATGTTGCTGTCACTGCTGCCGGCACTGCCAACACCACCACTTGCCAACTGCAACCCGCTTCCGGTGTGTTGAATCATTGGCTTGATCCGTTGCCCTGCTCCACCTTCCATTGTCTGCCCAACCCTCTTTGCTGCCTTCTTTAGCTTCAGTCCTCCGTTTTCCTCTCTCTACTTCTCAACGCCATTCCCCCCCCTCTTCCCCCCGCCTTCCCCTCTCGTCTCCTCCCCTTCCCCCCCCCCCTCCCCCCCGCCCCTTCCCCCCCGTCGCCCCCCACCTCCCCCCCATAACCATGTCATGAACGTTTTGTTACCCATATCTTATCACTCTTTTCCATGCCTCTACTGCTCCCGCTTACCACCACAGCCCCTTTTCCCTAAACCTCCCTTCCTTGGCAGTGGCCTCTCTGTCCACAGGTGCCATAGTGGGCATCATTCTGGGCTGCTTTGCTGGCTTCACACTGCTGGCTGCTATGCTTGCGTGGCTGCTGTGGCCTCGCGGAACAAGTAAGCCCCTCCACCCTTGTTCAGCTCCTTTTCAACTCCCCCAATGCTGTACCTCTTTCCTGGCCCTTCTCTGCTCAACTTCCCTGCCGTTTTTCCTGCATCACAACTCTGCCTTTCCACTACCCTCGTGCTCTCTCCACTCATCCACACCCTTCGTCACTCATTCCTCTTGGTCGCTCTTCCCCCTTGTCCTCCCGTGGTCACAGAGAAGTGGGAGGGGTTGGATGTGTGTGAGCAGTTCTCGCTGCAGCAGATGCTCAAGGCAACCAACAACTGGTCGGAAGACAATGTGCTGGGCAAGGGAGGCTTTGGCATTGTGTACAAAGGCTGCTCGCCACAGGGGCAGCTGTGGGCCATCAAGCGATCCACCATCATGACCAACGACTTTGAGACAGAGGTCAGGCATACCTTTACTACCTCCCTGCTTTCCGCCCAAAGAGCGCAGAAATATAACGGCTACTCTCTGTTATTCAAAAAGCGGATCTGCATATTCCATGCTCGCCTACCCATTTCCCTCTGCATCTGCATGCATTGTGTTGCATGTCCGTTGTTGCAGGTGCGAGCCATGGCGTCTCTCCACCACGTGCATCTGGTGCGCCTGCTGGGCTTCTGTCTGGACCAGAACGTGGAGACGGGCAAGCAGGAGCAGATCCTCGTGTACGAGTTCATCGGCAACAGGGACCTCCACTACCATATCCATGCCACCGAGCGTGAGTTGCACTGGTGTGAGTTGCTCTGCCGTGAGTTGCACTGGCACGACTGCTCAATGCTCGCCAGTCGTTTTACATATATATGTGTATGTATATGTGTACATATATATATATATATGTATATATGTCCATAAATATAGTTATATGTAATATATATATTTATATATTTGTGCACAGAACATGACACCGTCTCTCATATAACTGGACGTTCTGCTCCATGTACGTGTTTCGTGACCCAGGTCCACTCTCTCTGCGCCAGAGGTTGCGCCTAGCGCAGGGAGCAGCAGAGGGCCTGGCGTACCTACACGGGTTCGACACCCATCGTTCACCGCGACATCAAGCCGGCAAACATCCTTGTAACAGCAGACATGCAAGCCAAGGTGGCTGACTTTGGGCTGCTCAAGCGGCTCACTCACGGCGATGCCGATGCCACGCGAGTGGCCGGCACTCCAGGCTATGTGGACCCGGACTACAACCGCACCCACGTCATCACGGCCAAGAGTGATGTGTTCAGGTTCGAGCGATGTGTTCAGGTTCGAGCGATGTGTTCAGGTTCGAGCGATGTGTTCAGGTTCGAGCGATGTGTTCAGGTTCGAGCGATGTGTTCAGGTTCGCATGCACACTCATTCACAATCCCCTGAACTTGTGCACCTCACTTTGTTTTCTAATCTTCCTGCTTGATGGTAAATACTTGTACCATGCACCTCTCTCTCTCTCGAACGGTCCTCTCTCTTTTTTTTTCCAACTTTTTTCCTCTGTCTCCAACGCATGATTGCTTGCAGCTTTGGAATCGTGCTGCTTCAGTTGCTAAGTGGAAAATCAACTCATGTTGGCGCTGACGAAAAAACGCATATAAGAAAATGGGTACGATTGTCAAGTATGAAATCCAAGATTCCATTTGGCGCAAATATGAATGTTGCATATCAGAGAATGTTTGTGCCCATCACAACTCAAATCTGTCTTTTCACTTTTCTCATGTCTGCACAATTTTCCTGAATTCCCATTCATTCTGGATATGACAGCCTTTCCTCGCTGTCATGCTGCCTTGCACCACATTTCCTACTTATCATGCTGTTTTTCACAGCCTCTCCCATGCATCATCCTTTCCTTGTGTGGATGCCTTCCAGGCAATGAAGAGAGTGGAGGCGTATGAGCTAGAGGAGCTGTGGGACAGCAAGATGCCAGCGGTCAGTGAAGAGGCCATAGTGGACTTTGCAGACCTGGCTCTGGACTGCATCAAGTCTCCCGGCACACGGCGACCCACCATGAAGGATGTGGCATACCGCCTCAGTGCCCTCATTGCCAAGCACTGCCCTGACAGGGAGGACGAGTGGGAAAGTGTTGCGAAAGAAGGGAGTGCAAGCAACGAGGGTGTGTCTTCAGGAGATGTTTCTGCTGTGTCTTTTGGAGATGGTGGGAGGGAGCCCGAGGGGTCTGATGGCTCACACTCTGGTGTGAGCTCATTCATGCTTGGGTCGATAGGTGATGGCCTCTTGAGTTGGCTGCAATTGAAGCCAATCAAAGGGCGTTGAGTTTGCCCATTATGCCTATATGTGGGCTATTTAGCACGGAACTATATATGCAGTGCTGCAGGAGCATCTAAGAGCACTTGGTGTTTTTCCTTGAGACTTAGATGCGATAATTAGCAAAGAATGAAAATGGGAGAGGCAAGAAGCACACAAGGGTGTCTCTTGTTCCTGTGTTCCCGTATTGCGTTGATGTGGTGTTGCAGCACCACCTCTAAGGAGTATCTCTGGGCTGATCAATGCTTGCTGTATGTTGCAGTAAAGCAGAAATTAGTCAAGATGTCGTAGAAGACTTACAAATTTCTGGAGTTTGAGCTCGAATTCGCATCACAAACTGCCTTAGCGCGTATGACGAGTCCCCATCCTTGCCGCACCAAGCCGAATTTTGCCTTGGTTTGGCGTCTCAAACACTGTCGGCTGTTTGGGAGGGACTGCCGCTGCATTACTGCAGCTGGCGGCAAGACTTTTTCCTCGTTTGGCAACCGAGCCTACAGTGCACCCCGTGCCGTGTTCTCGTGAGTAGGCTGCCTTTTTCAATCTCGCAGGCGAGAAACTATAGCTGTCTGGGCTTGCAGGAAACTGTACACTAGTGTTTCGCCAAGTTGCTATGAACTGGCGTTCCTACTGACATTTTTGGTCGTCGCCATGTCGTTGTCCATGTCACCGAATCTAATGGTGAGTGCATCATATTCTGGACATTTGCTAATTGAGGTGTAGTAGTGCTGTAGCAATTACTATTCAAGCTATAAAGGGGGGGTAGTTGGGTATTGGGAGAAGCGAAGGGTTGGTGACATTGGGGGGCGCAGGGCGCTGCGGGAGCAATTCCAGGGACATTGGGAGACAGGAAATCTGGCGAGGGCCAATCCAAGGCCTAGGCGGCTCGGGCTCAACCCATCACGCTGAGAATTGCGCGACTGGGTAGCAATGCACAAGAAGCCTAGCCTAGCAAAGCAATCTTGTTCTCTCGACTTGTTTACCTATCATAGCGGATTTCTGTTACCGTACTCAAGCTATCGCAGCTAGGTGACTAAGCCGCTCTTGGTAGCCATCCTGTGGGAGCACGTAACTCTCACAAGTCGAGAGAAGTGCGCCGGCGATATGGATCGCCATGAGCTGCGGACGCAGCGTACGTACTCGCGGCGGGAGCGCTCTCCGTCGCGTATGAGGCGCTCAAAGGAGCGCGGAAGGTCGCCAACGCGCTCGCCGCGGAGGGCAGCGTATCGTGCGGATCCGGTGACGCCAACGGGCGTGCGAGGAGAGGGAAGCGGGGAGGATCTGCGCGTCAGATCGGAGCCTTGGAGGCGACCCGCAACGAGCAATCCGTGGAACCTGGCGGGAGGCCAGCACGGACTGGAGGAAGGGTATCACGATGGAGACGTGGAGATGGAATCGACGGGCGAGCTCGATGATGAAGAAGAGGGGGAAGAGCCCCCGCTTGTTCCTGGTCGCGGGAGACGAGGCATCGCTGGCGGGGAAGGATTTCCTGCTGAGCAAGGCGGCGGAAGACGTGGCGACGCCGGCGACGAAGATTCCCCCACTGCGCGGGGCGGCGGAAGGCGTGGCAACGCCGGCGACGAAGAGTCCCCCACTGCGCAGGGCGGCGGAAGGCGCGGCGTTACCGACGACGAGGGATCCCCCACTGCGCGGGGCGGCGGAAGGCGCGGCGTTACCGACGACGAGGGATCCCCCACTGCGCGGGGCGGCGGAAGGCGCGGCGACGCCAGCGACGAAGATTCCCCCACTGCGCGGGGCGGTGGAAGACACGGTGACGCCGGCCACAACGGGTCACCCACTGCGCGGGAAGAAGGGAAGCAGGGGAGCAACAAGAGTGATGAGGAAGAGCGGATCCGCCGTGGAAAAGCGCGAGAGGAAGGCGAAGAACACCGGGAAAGAGAGCTCTCACCTGCAGGACCACGCGGAGGAGTACGGCGAGGGAGACGGTATTGTTCTTGGAGCGGCTAAAAAAGCAGTTCCCTGGGCATACGGCAGCGCGCATACGGGAGTTCCAGGAGTTCAGGCGTAGGGATGAGGAGTCGCTGCTGACTTACTATGGACGATTAATGAACCTGGCGGAAGATGTGGCATGCACGGACAGCAGCATGATCATCAGTAAGTTTCTGAACGGGTTGGACAGGGGACTGGCAGGAGGGCTGAGAATGAGAGTTTATGAGCTAGGGGCGGATGCATCACCAGAAGAAGTGTTCGAGTTAGCAGAAAGGGTGGAGCTGGCACAGAGGAAATACGAGGTGTACCTGCCAAGAGCGACAGAGAGAAAGAATCCCGCTTGGGCAGCAGCAATGGTGGCTGAGACAGGAGGAAGGGAGGAAGGACGGCAGGAGAGAGGAGCGGAGACACGCACCTGCCACCGGTGCAAGCAGCCGGGACACTTGATGAGGAACTGCAGGAATTGTGACACCTGCGGGAAGCCGGGACACCGACGCAAGGATTGCCCAGATGCACCGATCTGCGAGGTGTGCGGGAAGCGGGGGCATAGAGGCAAGGACTGTTACCAGCGTTCGGGAGGACAGCGGAGGACGCCAGAGGATATAAAAGGACAAATCAGCAAGCTGCAGGCGCAACTGCAGGCACTGGGAGGAAAGCCAGAGAAAGAAGCAGGGCTGTATGCGAGGGAAGACGATGACGAGGCAGAGGTGATAGAGGAGCCAAATCCAGAATACCAGTTCATGGTGCTGCGCAGCAGAGATGACCTGGGCCTGCGTAGTGAGGGCAGGGACGGAAGGAAAGAACAGATGATGAAAGAGAGGAGGCGGCCAATGAGCGACAAGGAGGAACAGCGGGACAGAACAAAGGAGCCTGGCCGGCACCCAAAAGACAGACTAGCAAGTCAGGCCACGGTGCTCATGGTGGAGCCAGGAGCAATGATGGTGGGAGGAGAAAAAGCCAAGACAGCCATACTGGACACTGGAGCACAGAGCGTCATGCTGGGTAAGCGGATGGCACAGAAGCTAGGACTAACAGGGCCAGGACAGAGCGTGAAGAAAGGGATGCTGGTGATGACGGCAGAGGGAGGCGAGCCTAAGTGGTTACCCTGCACGAAAACACCCATAGAAGTGACACTATTGCCAGGACAGGAAGGGCAGACGTGTCTCCAAGTGCCATGCGGTATATCGGAGTAGGAAGACTTTGATGTACTGCTTGGGACGGACCTGATATGGGGCGTGGGCATGACCATCTGCACATGGAAGGAGCAGGTGCAGTTTCGGAAGCAGTACTGGACAAAGAATAGTGAGGTGAGGGAGTTACCGGTGCAGTTTGTGAGACAGGAACCTAAGAGGGCATACGCGGTAGGCGAGGCAGGGAGAAAGGAAGGGGGAAAAGCAGGGCTGGTCGGCAAGGCAGCGGCGGCAGGCGGATGGCAGGAACCAATAAGGCTGGTAGAACTGTTCGGAGGCATCGGTGCAGGCTTGGCAGCAGTAGTAAAAGCAGGGATAGCGGTGAAAGAGTGGGTATACGTGGAGAAGAACGAGAAGGCCAGGAAGATGGCTGAACACCACGCCCGTATGCTCCAGAGGGAGAATCCTGAGCTGCTGGAAGCAAAGGTAATAGACAGAGCAATGCGGAGGACAGTGAAGGATGTAAGGGGGATTACGCCAGAAATGGTAAGGGATTGGGGACCAGTGGACCTGCTGGTGGCAGGATGGGAATGCCAAGGGGTATCGAGGGCCGGCAAGGGAAGAGGGATGGAGGACCCCCGAGGAGCGATGCTGCTAGATTTACTGCGCATCATGGACTGGATCAGGGAGAGGCAGGAGAAGTTGGTATACCTGCTGGAGCATCTGGACCTAGAGGGAGACTGCAGGGAGCCGGTAAGGAAGGTGAGGGACCTGGTGTGGAAGAAACTGGGAAAAGGGGTGAGGTGCGACGCCGCGAGGTTGGGGGCACGCGCGCACAGGGTAAGGAGGTACTGGCAGAACGTTGTGCCTGACGAGCAGCTGCAAGAAGAACTGGACGGGATAAGGAGGGATTGGAGCAGAACGGTAAGGGATATCTTGGAACCAGGCAGGACGGCAGCGCCCGTGAAAAAGGGGAGACATGCGACACAATGCCCCTGCAACAAAGTGGGGGCAGAGCGCAGAGCATGGCCGACCCTAGTGGCCTATGAAAGGGCAGCAGGGTTTAAGATGGAAGGTGGGGAGCCAGGGGAGGGGATGGTGTATGATCATACGAAGCAGCAGTGGGAAGAACCTACGGCGCTGGAGAGGGAGCTGGCGATGGGGTATGAGGAAAACGCAACAAAGGCAAGTGGGGTAACAGAGCAGGAGAGGAGGCGAGCACTAGGGCAGGCAATGGATGGGCAGGTAATGAGGTGGTTCGTGCGGAGGATGTGGAGAGGGGTAGTGTTGGAAGCGGAGCCAAAAGGGGAGGAACAGATGCGAGAGGTGCAGAAAGTGGGGGCATGGGTGAGCTTACCCGTGAAGGAGGAGGCAGAATGGGCGATAGGAGACACCATGGGAAAGGAAGGGAAGAAGGCACTGCAAGCAGTGCTGGCCAAGTACAGACATGCCTTCGCCTTTACACTACAAGAGCTGGGGAAATGTACGGTGAAAGAAATGGAGCTGAAGCTGACTACAGATGAGCCGGTGTTCCAGAGGAAGAGGCGGATGGCCCCGGGGGATGAGGATGTCTGCAGGGAAAAATGCAAGGAGTTGCTTGAAGCAGGCCTGATCCAGAGGTCGGAATCAGAGTATGCCACGCCTACAGTGATAGCTGCAAGGAAGGATCTTACGGGGGAGGTGCTGAGCAGGCGCATGTGTGGGGATTACCGAGCGCTGAACAAGCTGACCGTGCCTGACAGGTACCCCATGCCAACAGCAGAAGAGATCTTCGACAGACTAGGGGAGGGGGAGATATTTAGCACGTTAGATCTTCGGCAGGGCTTCAATCAGATCAGGATCAAGAAGGAGGATGTTCGCAAGACCGCATTTCACGGGGCGGACGGTTTGTATGAGTGGCTGTTCATGCCTTTCGGGCTGCGAAACGCATCAGCCATATTTCAACGCGTGATGGATAGTGTATTGCGGGGGCTGGAGTGTGCGGCATGCTACATAGATGACGTGGTCATCTTCAGCAAAACAGAGGAGGAACATGTGAGAGATGTGGAGCGTACCTTGGAGGCGCTGGTAGCGGCAGGACTGACCTGCCACCCAAAGAAGTGTCGGTGGGGGGAGGCGACAGTGCAGTATCTGGGGTATGAGGTGAAGGGAGGCCAGATAGGGATTCATAAGGCTAAAGTTGCGGTATTGGACCGACTGCAGCAGCCCAAGGACAGGAGCGGATTGCGGGCGGTGCTGGGGTTTCTCAGCTACTACCGGCGCTTTGTGCCCAATTTCAGCAAGCGAGCAGTGGCGCTGAACTCCCTGTTAAAGGAGGACAAGAAGTGGGAGTGGGGAGCAGAGCAGGAAGGGGCGCTGAGGGATTTAATGGAAGCAGTACAGACAGCAACAGTGTTGCAACTGCCACAGGCGGACAAGCCCTTTTCCCTATACACTGACTGGAGCAGCCAGGGCATGGGTGCAATCCTCTGCCAGGAGCTAGATGGGGAGGAGAGAGTAGTGGCATATGCGAGCCGGAGCTGCAACCCGGCGGAGGCAAAGTACAGCTCGTATCACGGGGAAGGGCTGGCGGCCGTATGGGCGGTGAAGCACTTTAGGGTGTATCTGCAGGGCAGAGAATTCACCTTAATCACCGACCATCAGCCGCTGCAGTGGTTGATGACACATCAGGGGCTGACGGGGAGAAACGCGCGCTGGGCGGTCACGCTGCAGGAATATGACTTCAAGATACGGCACAGGCCAGGGAAGACACTACAGCACGTGGACGGGCTCTCAAGGAACCCGCCGTCAGCAGAGCCAGTGCATACGCTGATGATGCTGGCCAAGCAGGGGGAGGCGGCGGCAGTAGTGAAGCAGAGAGGGCCGCAGGACATATGGGAGGACCCGGTGGCACTGCGGTGGATCAGAGGGGAGACGGAGGCAGATGAGCAAGTGGCAGACGGGGTAAGGGCACGAGGACACCATTACCGATGGTACCAAGGACAGCTGCAGCTGCAGTCAGTGGACAGGTGGAAGCTGGTGCCGGCACCACATGAGAGAGGAGGTGTGATTGAGGAGGTGCACAGTAAATTGGGGCATTTCGGGCATGAGCGCACAACTCAGCTGCTGAAAACAGGCTGGTGGTGGCAGGGAATGGGGAAGCAGGTCAAGGAATGGGTGAGCGGGTGCGAGGGCTGTCAGAGGAGCAAGGGGCGGTCATCAGGGGCGGTCTCCTGCGCAGAGAGAGCGGCAATGGGGCGATCAAGAACGACGCAGGGGAGGTCAGGAAGGGTGGAGGAGGAGTCAGAGCCAGTTTGATGCAGGCAAAGCAGGAGTTGCAGTCATTGCCGATCAGGGGACTGGGGTTTAGGTGGTCACTGGACTTGGCTGGCGAGTTGCCACTGAGTAGAGGAGGGAAGCGGTACATCTTGATCATGGTGGAACACGCCAGCAAGTGGCTGGAAGTCTGCGCAATTCCAAGCAAAGATTCAAGGCACGTGGCCAGGGCGTTCAAGGGGCAGGTGTTATGCAGATTTGGGGCGCCCGGGGAAGTCCTTACTGACCAGGGAACAGAATTCAAGGGGGAATTTCAAGCACTGCTGGATGAGGCGAAGGTGACACACAGGCAGACGTCCAGGTATCACCCCCAGAGCGATGGACTGACAGAGCGCCTGGTGCAGACCTTGAAGAGGAACCTGAGGGCGTACGGGGAGAAGCGGAAGAGGGACTGGGATGAGGAGCTAGACTGGATAGCGGCAGGGTATAGGTTCGGAAAGCAGGCGTCGCTGAAGGACTACTCCCCCTACAGTCTGTTGTTTGGGAAAGAGCCGATCTTACCCGTGGGAGCGCCAAGGGTGCTCACGGAAGTGGTGAGAGTGAAAGGGGCAGAACAGTGGGTCGCGCTGGCAGAAGCAAGGGCAAGGTACATGCGTGAGATGCTTCCTGCAGCGCTCGAGAACCTGCACACGGCACAGCTGCGGGATGCACATAGGTATGAGCAGCGGCAACAGCAGGGTCGAGGGAAGGCTAAGCCAGCAGTAATGGAGGGACAGGAAGTGTACCTGCGCAGGGCAAGGAAGGACACGTTGGACGTCGGGTTGGGGACAGAGAGGTGGAAGGTGAAGGAAGTAAGGGGATCAGGGGTGTTGGTGCTGGAGAATGAGAGAGGTGAGCGTACGGTGGATCACCAGACGAACACGGCGGCAGTGAAGGAGTGGCGACCTCAGCAGGAAGGTCCTGTGACACGTGCACGGGCAGCCCGAGCACGAGCATAGGAGGGGGCAGGAAGTGGCTGAGGAAGAACACAGTGTACAAGGTGTGGAAGGTAGGCAGAAGGAAGACAGGCGGGTAAAGACAGAAAACAGAGAAGACACAAGAGGGTAAGGGACCAAGGGGAGGAGGAAAAGGGTAACTCCGACAGCTGTCACCGAATCTAATGGTGAGTGCATCATATTCTGGACATTTGCTAATTGAGGTGTAGTAGTGCTGTAGCAATTACTATTCAAGCTATAAAGGGGGGGTAGTTGGGTATTGGGAGAAGCGAAGGGTTGGTGACATTGGGGGGCGCAGGGCGCTGCGGGAGCAATTCCAGGGACATTGGGAGACAGGAAATCTGGCGAGGGCCAATCCAAGGCCTAGGCGGCTCGGGCTCAACCCATCACGCTGAGAATTGCGCGACTGGGTAGCAATGCACAAGAAGCCTAGCCTAGCAAAGCAATCTTGTTCTCTCGACTTGTTTACCTATCATAGCGGATTTCTGTTACCGTACTCAAGCTATCGCAGCTAGGTGACTAAGCCGCTCTTGGTAGCCATCCTGTGGGAGCACGTAACTCTCAAGGAAGTGGCTGAGGAAGAACACAGTGTACAAGGTGTGGAAGGTAGGCAGAAGGAAGACAGGCGGGTAAAGACAGAAAACAGAGAAGACACAAGAGGGTAAGGGACCAAGGGGAGGAGGAAAAGGGTAACTCCGACATCCACTGTCGCAGAGACTCGTACACGATAATGCGGTCTCTGGTCGCGAAGCTGATTATTCGCCTGTTGAGCTAGTAGCTCGCTTCGCCTGACAGCACTGTGTGCTAGTTCACCACCGCCGGCGCGACCACATGCGCTTTCGCGTGCAGCACAGACGAACGCATGAAGCTTGTGAACGAATCGCGGATCCCTCTAATCCTGGGAACGTAAGGAGACGGTGTTAGGAGCTGAAGCTGTAATGAGCTGGAAGTGACAGGAAAGTCTCTTTTTTAAGGCTTGTGTCACATTCTTTGCTGGCTTTGACTCCTACCCGCTCGCCGCAAGGGCGAGTCGCTGGAATTCAAGCTTTGTTTTTCTAACTTCGCACCCGATTTTGCACAACACACACCGGATTTCGCCCTGATAACCTGACACTTGACAAGCGACTTCTGATACGAACCGATCTCGGCTTTTTGAAGTCGTTGCCAATAGTGCGTAAAAGTTCACCCAACTCTGCGCAGACGTAGATTCTGTATCCGTTAGCCGTACGATTCGTAACTCGGGTGGATCGATGGCGGCTTCCAAGGGGAGCGCCTTGGTGGTAGCGGCGGTGCTGCAGCTGCTGCTGCTACTGGCGGGTAACGCCGTGCCGTGCGCGGGTCAGGACACGAGCCTGCAGCAGTGCTTGCCGATCGATTACACGGAGAGTAGGCTCGCTATCACGCATGTCGGCTTTCCTTCACGCAGTGTTGGCTTCGTTTCGCGCAGTCTCGGCTTCTTTTCTCAGTATTTCACGCAAGATCAGTTCTATTCTCATCAACATCACTTCAATTTTTCAGTATTCCACGCAATGTTGCTTCGTTCTCAGTATTTCTCGCAATGGTCTAGCGCAATCTCAGCTCAATTCTACCACCCAACATAAGTTCACTCTCTTGCACTCTGGGCCTAACGGTAACGTTCCTCATCTGATGGTTGGCAGCGCAAAATCTATTATATGTGGCAATGAGGCTGGATTACCTTCCGTACGACCTGACTGACGTCACCACCTGCATCAATCTCGGCCTCACTTGTAGCGACAGTGGCTATGTCACTGAAATGTCAGTGCTGCTGCTGCTGCTGCTGCTGCTGCTGCTGCTGCTGCTGCTGCTGCTGCTGCTGCTGCTGCTGCTGCTGCTGCTGCTGCTGCTGCTGCTGCTGCTGCTGCTGCTGCTGCTGCTGCTGCTGCTCATGCCGTCGCTGGTGCTGATGCGCAGGTTAGGGTAGCAGGAGGAGTACGAGATTCTTGCGAGTGACACTTTCTTGCTTTGACTCGTGGCTGTTGCGCGCGCAGCAATTGGCAGAACAAGGCAATACAAGGGGAGCTGCCTTCTGAAATTTTCCTGCTGACGCACCTTGAATACCTGTGAGATGAGAGTCCGCGCTTGAAGCACCTTGAATGCCTGTGAACGTCTGCGCTTTGAGCCACTGAAAGCCACATGTGCTGGGCATGCCTGCTGCATTGAATCATGCGCCATTATTTCAATGCATCCCAACTAAGAACCTGATACCATGCAATACGTGCGTTTCCTACCATGCCATGCCATGCATGATGCATGCGATGCGACCAACGCTGACGTGTAAAACATTCCCAGGTCGCTGCGAGACAACTACCTGCGGGGAACCATCCCCGCTGACATCGGCAACCTCGTCAATCTCACATTCCTGTCAGTTCACTTCCTCAACCTGCGCTGTACCCCTCTCTGTTAACGTTGTTCCCTCTGCAGGTTGAGTTCGCCCCCTGTTGATTAGCATCGTTCAGCTGTCAATTAACTTCGTCCCTCTGTCAGTCAACGTTGCCTCTCTGTTATGTAACTTCGCCTCTTTCTCAGTTAACTTCACCCATCTGTCAGTTAGCTTCACCCCTCTCTCAGTTGACTTCACCCCTCTTTCAGTTTACATCGCCCCTCTGTCAGTTAACTTCGCCTGTCTGACAGTCGACCTCACCTTTGTCAGTACTGCCACCAACACGCCTCTAACAGTCTCTCTGGTGGGTGTTTCTGCGAGTCATGTGTGAGTGCATGTGTGTGTGTGTGTGTGTGTGTGTGTGTGTGTGTGTGTGTGTGTGCATGTGCATGTGTGAGTGAATGTGTGAGAGCGTGTGCGTACATTTGTATGAGTGTGTGTATGCATGTTTACACACATGTGTGCGAGTGTGTGGATAAATGTGTGTATGTGGATGCACGTGTTTGCGCACGAGTGTGTGGCATGCATGTGTGCGCACGAGTGTGTGTGAGTGACATGCATGCATGGCAGGGACATCTCCAACAACTCCTTATCAGGCCCCTTCCCCACCTTCTTCAGCAGACTCACCAAGCTCTCCACCCTGTCAGTTAGCGCTTCCCACCTGTCAGTCAACAATTTCTACCTGTCAGTCAACAATTTCTACCTGTCAGTCAACAAATCTTCCCTGTCAGGCACAGCTTCGTATCTGTCAGGCAGTCCGTTAGGCCATCCACTTCCACCAGCTGGCCGGTCGCCAGTTAGCTCTACCCGCTCCTAAGTTCTGCCATCCCATGCTGTGCCATGCCATGCCGTGCCGTGCCATGCCATGCCATGCCATGCCGCCCCTACCACCAGGTACATGGACAGGAACAAGTTCTCCGGAAGCCTTCCTGATGCCATCGGCAACATGGTCTCTCTCAATGAGCTGTATGTGTGTGCCGCCCGGCATGTATGTGTGCCGCCCGGCATGTGTGTGTGCCGCCCGGCATGTATGTGTGCCGCCTGGCATGTATGCGTGCCTGGCATGTGCGTGTGCCTCCAGGCATGTAGTGCGGTACCAAGCATCCAAGTCTAAACCTCGCTCTCCCTCTTTACTGTTTTCTCCAAGCACCCATGTTGTCCCTCTGTTTTTCGCCCCTCTCCCCATCTGCACCCCCTCCGCATCACCCTCTCTTTCTGCTCCCTCGACTCCCTCCTCTTCCTCCCCCTCTGCAGGGTGCTGATGTACAATGACTTCATGGGGTCACTGCCCAACGGCATGGGCCGCCTCACCAACCTCTACAACTTGTGAGCCGCCCGCCACGAATTAGCAGATCTCAGTGACCATGTGAGCATGTGAGTGACCATGTGAGAATGTTAGTGACCATGTGAGAATGTTAGTGACCATGTGAGAATGTTAGTGACCATGGGTGGCCCTGGTACAGCACTTATCAGCTCTGCAGCCTGTGAAGGCCTTTTAACGCTGTGATCTGCCAGCATGTTCTCTGCTTTCATCCACCGCCTCCCCTCAATCATTGTATCGTATCCCAGTCACTATCATCTCACCCCCGTGTGCGTGCGCATGCCAAATGACTTGTGTGCATGCCAAATGACATGTGTGCATGCCAAATGCCACGTGTGCATGCAGAGCCTTGTCATACAACCGCCTGTCAGGGACCATCCCCAAGTCTCTGTCCAGCATGGCCAGCCTTAGCTCCCTGTGAGCCTCATCTCCATGCCATGCCATGCCATGCCATGCCATGCCATGCTATGCCATGCCATGTCTCAGCTCCATGCGAGTCTCAGTTCCATCTAAGTCTCAGCTCCATGCCATGCCATTCCATGAGCACCGCCATTAATTGCCACCATCCTGCCAATCAACCTCCATCATACCACCCGCCACATTTGCCACGGACCAATGTCGAAGCAAACCCCTTTTCCACCATAACCTTCACCTCCTTGCCACTCCCCACGCCCCCATCTCCCCCTCCATCCCACACCCCCCTGCCCCCTGCCCCACAACCCCATGCTTCACAACCACATGCACCATCCATGTTCCCCCCCGCCCCTCCCCCCCTCCCCACCCCCACGGCAGTTCGCTGGACAACAACTTGTTTTCGGGGTCGCTGGGGCCCCTCGCTGCTCTCTCCTCCCTCACCAGCATGTGAGCACCTCTCTCGCCCTCCATGCCTTATCAGTCCCTCTCTCGCCCTCCATGCCTTATCAGCACCTCTCTCGCCCTCCATGCCTTATCAGCACCTCTCTCGCCCTCCATGCCTTATCAGCACCTCTCTCGCCCTCCATGCCTTATCAGCACCTCTCTCGCCCTCCATGCCTTATCAGCACCTCTCTCGCCCTCCATGCCTTATCAGCACCTCTCTCGCCCTCCATGCCTTATCAGAACCTCTCTCGCCCTCCATGCCTTATCAGCACCTCTCTCGCCCTCCATGCCTTATCAGCACCTCTCTCCCCCTCCATGCCTTATCAGCACCTCTCTCGCCCTCCATGCCTTATCAGCACCTCTCTCGCCCTCCATGCCTTATCAGCACCTCTCTCGCCCTCCATGCCTTATCAGCACCTCTCTCGCCCTCCATGCCTTATCAGCACCTCTCTCGCCCTCCATGCCTTATCAGCACCTCTCTCGCCCTCCATGCCTTATCAGCACCTCTCTCGCCCTCCATGCCTTATCAGCACCTCTCTCGCCCTCCATGCCTTATCAGCACCTCTCTCCCCCTCCATGCCTTATCAGCACCTCTCTCGCCCTCCATGCCTTATCAGCACCTCTCTCGCCCTCCATGCCTTATCAGCACCTCTCTCGCCCTCCATGCCTTATCAGCACCTCTCTCGCCCTCCATGCCTTATCAGCACCTCTCTCGCCCTCCATGCCTTATCAGCACCTCTCTCGCCCTCCATGCCTTATCAGCACCTCTCTCGCCCTCCATGCCTTATCAGCACCTCTCTCGCCCTCCATGCCTTATCAGCACCTCTCTCGCCCTCCATGCCTTATCAGCACTCCTCTCGGCCTCTGTGCCCTGTCAGAACAACGGACTCTTCTTCTGTCTTCACCAAAACGCCTTTCCCATTCTCTATCTCTCCTCCTTCATCCACATTCGGCTTTTGAGGCGCCTCAGAAGTCCTCCCTTTTCCCATTGCCACGTGCAGCTATCTGTGTTGCAACCGCTTCAACGGGTCCATACCGTCGTCTACCTTCGCCAGCAACATCTTCTCCTCCTTGTATGCCTCTTACCATTATACCGTGTGAATTGACTTTTGAGCCGACTCAAAACGCACCTTGATACCATTTACCTTCGCCAGCAACGTTTTCTCCTCGTATGCCTCTTACTACAATACCATGCGACATGCGTCGACGACATCATCTGTCATGTGTCCACATCATGTCCCATGCTCCATGCACCATGCACCATGGAGCATGTGCCATACGACATGCTCCATGCTCCATGCGCGATTCACCATGGCATGCCCTCCCTCCTCTCTCCAGCAACCGTCCATACATCTTGCGCCTCACATCCATTCGCCCATTAGCTCTCACGCCCACTCTATACACCAACTTCTCCTTCTCCTTCTGCTCCATCCTCGCCTCATCATCTTCTCCCTCCCACCTCTGCCCCCCCCCCTCCTCACCACGTCCTACCAGTTACATCACAGTGAACGGCCTCGCAGGTTTTGAGTCGACTCAAAACTCATTTCCTTCCTCCCACACCCACCCCTCCCCCCAACCATGGTCTGCCAGTGACGTGTCAGTGAACGAGCTCACAGGGCCCCTGCCGTCCGGTCTCAAGTTCACCATAAATTTTGGCAGCCCAATATTGTGAGTCCCCTCTGCTTCTCACCCCTCTGCTTCTCACCCCTCTGCTTCTGACCCCTCTGCTTCTGACCCCTCTGCATGTGAGGCACACTCTTTTTCTTCCATGCAAATGCTTTTCTTTATAACCTGATCTCTATCCTCCTTTCCTTGCCTTTCAATTCCCGTCACTGTGGGCTGCTGTGCACCCCTGTGCCTCCCTCTGCATCCCTGTGGCCCCCCTGTGTGCCCCTGTGCCCACCTTTGTGCCCCTGTGCACCCCTGTGCACCCCTATGCACCCCTTTGTGCCGGTATGCACCCCTGCGCACCCTGTCTGGCAGCAACGCGTCCTTCAACCGTCTCTCAGGGGAAATCCCCGTTGACTTCATGGCCAACTTCTACATCCTGTGCGTTGCTCCTCCCCCTCCTTCATCCTGTACGTCGCCACTCCCCCTTGTTTCATGTGGTTCTTAAGAACTCTCAAAAACCACATACAGCAAGTCACCCTTCCCTCCTCTCCCTGGAACAGTCCTTAGTCATCGAATAAATTTGTAAGACCACAGCAAAGCCAGGTCCATGAGGCGATTATCAACATCAGAACTTGACAAGCTGCTTGGCAAGCGGCTCACAGAGCTAAGCCTTCGGCAAGCCCCCACCACCTTCGCCCCCACCACCTTCGCCACCACCACCTTCGCCCCCACCACCCTCGCCCCCACCACCCTCGCCCCCACCACCTTCGCCCCCACCACCTTCGCCCCCACCACCCTCGCCCCCACCACCCTCGCCCCCACCACCTTCGCCCCCACCACCTTCGCCCCCACCACCCTCGCCCACACCACCCTCGCCCCCACCACCTTCGCCCCCACCCTCGCCCCCACCACCCTCGCCCCCACCACCCTCGCCCCCACCACCCTCGCCCCCACCACCTTCGCCCCCACCCTCGCCCCCACCACCTTCGCCCCCACCACCTTCGCCCCCACCACCTTCGCCCCCACCACCTTCGCCCCCACCACCCTCGCCCCCACCACCCTCGCCCCCACCACCTTCGCCCCCACCACCCTCTCTCCCACCACCTTCGCCCCCACCACCTTCGCCCCCACCACCTTCGCCCCCACCACCTTCGCCCCCACCACCCTCGCCCCCACCACCCTCGCCCCCACCACCTTCGCCCCCACCACCCTCTCTCCCACCACCCTCGCCCCCACCACCTTCGCCCCCACCACCTTCGCCCCCACCACCTTCGCCCCCACCACCTTCGCCCCCACCACCCTCGCCCCCACCACCTTCGCCCCACCACCCTCGCCCCCACCACCTTCGCCCCCACCACCTTCGCCCCCACCACCCTCGCCCCCACCACCTTCGCCCCCACCACCCTCGCCCCCACTACCCTCGCCCCCACCACCCTCGCCCCCACCACCCTCGCCCCCACCACCTTCGCCCCCACCACCTTCGCCCCCACCACCTTCGCCCCCACCACCTTCGCCCCCACCACCGTCGCCCCCACCACCGTCGCCCCCACCACCCTCGCCCCCTCCACCCTCGCCCCCTCCACCTTCGCCCCCACCACCTTCGCCCCCACCACCTTCGCCCCCACCACCTTCGCCCCCACCACCTTCGCCCCCACCACCTTCGCCCCCACCACCTTCGCCCCCACCACCTTCGCCCCCACCACCTTCGCCCCCACCACCTTCGCCCCCACCACCGTCGCCCCCACCACCCTCGCCCCCACCACCCTCGCCCCCACCACCCTCGCCCCCACCACCCTCGCCCCCACCACCTTCGCCCCCACCACCCTCGCCCCCACCACCCTCGCCCCCACCACCTTCGCCCCCACCACCTTCGCCCCCACCACCTTCGCCCCCACCACCTTCGCCCCCACCACCTTCGCCCCCACCACCCTCGCCCCCACCACCTTCGCCCCCACCACCTTCGCCCCCACCACCTTCGCCCCCACCACCGTCGCCCCCACCACCCTCGCCCCCACCACCTTCGCCCCCACCACCTTCGCCCCCACCACCTTCGCCCCCACCACCGTCGCCCCCACCACCCTCGCCCCCACCACCCTCGCCCCCACCACCCTCGCCCCCACCACCTTCGCCCCCACCACCCTCGCCCCCACCACCCTCGCCCCCACCACCTTCGCCCCCACCACCTTCGCCCCCACCACCTTCGCCCCCACCACCTTCGCCCCCACCACCCTCGCCCCCACCACCTTCGCCCCCACCACCTTCGCCCCCACCACCTTCGCCCCCACCACCTTCGCCCCCACCACCCTCGCCCCCACCACCTTCGCCCCCACCACCTTCGCCCCCACCACCTTCGCCCCCACCACCTTCGCCCCCACCACCTTCGCCCCCACCACCCTCGCCCCCACCACCCTCGCCCTCCACCTCTTCCCCCATCCAGGGCTTTACCCACCCCCTAACCTTGTTTTCGCACCCCCCCCCCCCCATCTCGCACTCCCCCCTTTTTTCCCTCTCCCGAACCATTTCTCTGCTCTGTTTGAAGCGCCTGAAACGTGGCCCCTCGCCTGCCTTGGTTTCCCTTCCCAGCGACATCTCTCACAACAATTTATCGGGCCGAGCGTTCTTTTCCAAGCCAAATGAGAACCCTGCTACTGACACCATGTATGTGAGATACTTAGCAGTTTGGCGGTGAGCGTGTGTACAGCACTCTGATCATGAATGCGTGAGCAGCACTCTGATCATGAATGCGTGAGCAGCACTCTGATCATGAATGTGTGAGCAGCAGTCTGATCATTAATGCGTGAGCAGCACTCTGATCATGAATGCGTGAGCAGCACTCTGATCATGAATGCGTGAGCAGCACTCTGATCATGAATGTGTGAGCAGCAGTCTGATCATTAATGCGTGAGCAGCACTCTGATCATGAATGCGTGAGCACTCACCCACAGCGACATACAATCTTCAGCCACTAACTGTGACAACAACCCATTCTGCACAATCACTCCTTCCACCATCGCACCAAGCACCATTCCTTCCCATCATCTCGACACCCTCATTCCGTCCCACCAGTGCAACCAATATGTCGAACATGCCTGTCCATCCATCCATTACTCTCCATTCCCCCAGCCATTAGACTAGGCGCGTGCAGCTTAGGTAAAATCTTTTAGCAGAAGAACAACAGTAGAGTTGAACTCTTTGTTGCCAGTTGAAAAAACAAGATCGAAACTGAGCTCTAAGTCCACTACAAGATTAAAACGGCAAACATGTTTCGGACGACTGGGACAGATCCCCGTCAATCCTTCATCCTTCAATCCATCCATCACTCTCCATTCCCCCCCAACCCTGTCTCCCTAACCCCCCGCACCCATCACCATCCCCTCTTTCCTCTCCCCCGTACATCCCCTCTGCACGGCTCCCCTCCTCCATCTGCCAGCAATTACTCGCACAACAGATTCTCAGGAGTGCTCGACCCCTCCCTCTCCAACCTCATGTCCCTCCGCGAGTTGTGCGTTGCCCTGCCTGCCCTGCCTGCCCTTCCCACTGGTCTGAGCGCTTCTTGAGTGTTTCCAAACGTGCCATGCAAAGTAGCACTCGATCAACCCCTCCCTCTCCACCCTCACCCACCTCTGCGACCTGTGCATTGCCCTCACCTTACCACATCACTGCCCTCCCGCCCTTCCCACCTGCCTATGCGCTCCTATGCATATCAATCTCTGTTGTCCCTCACTCTCCTGCCTCACACCCATGCTTTCCTTAACCCCCTCCCCTCCCACCCCCATTCCCTCGCTGTCTCTCCTATCACGGCCCCAAGCCCCTCTGTATGGCATAGCTTCTCCCATCACCGCTCATACTCTCCGTCCCCCCCCCCCCCCCCCCCCCACCGTTTCCCTGCGCCCCCTCTACCCCACAGGGACATGTCAGGCTACCTCCTCACGGGGTCCATTCCAGCCTTCATCTTTGAGGTGGCCCAGAAATGATTGAAGCGATTGAGGCTGTTTTAGATGCGCCTAACGAGTTATCCCTGTGTGCCCCCTCCCCCTCACATCACACAGGGACGTGTCAGGCAACCTCCTCACGGGGTCCATTCCAGCCTTCATTTCGGAACTCTTCACACTCACTCTGCTGTATGCCCTTCTTGCTTTGCTATGTGCACATGATTTGCTGTGTGCGCATGATTTGCTGTGTGCGCATGATTTGCTATGTGCGCATGATTTGCTGTGTGCCCTCGCTTTGCTGTCCATTGTTCATTTTCACTCTCCTTGCCGCTCCCCTTTCCCACAACTGCCTCTATCCTCGCGTGCACGCCTCTCTCTGCCCTCACTCCACTCCTCACCTCCGCACCTCTCCCTGCCCACATTCCACTCCCCACCACCGCATTGCACCCCTCTCCCTTTCCCCTGTGGGCGCCCCTCCCACCTGCAGCGACCTCTCTTCCAACCGGTTCACTGGCACTGTGCCGCCAGCTGTCAGTGACCCCTATGGCCTCCTCAGCATGTGAGGTGATGTCAGCATGTGTGTGTGAGCATGTGTGGTGGTATGTGCGCGTGTGACATCGCACATCAGATGACATGGTACGTCTCTGTCACATCTTGATATTGACAACTCCTGCTCCTACCCACCCCACCCACCCATGTCTACCCCTGTCCACCGCATCCCCCTTTTGGCAAGCAACCTGGCTCACAGCCTGCTGCAGGGCTCCACTCCCCGCGCTCTCTTGATTTGGATAACTCCTGCTCTTACCCACCCCTACTCACCCCTGCCTACCCGTTTCCATCCCTGCCCACCGTGTATCAACCCTGCATACCGTTTGTCAACCCTGCCTACCAGCAACCTGGCGCACAACCTGCTGCAGGGCTCCATTCCCCGGGCTCTCTCCCGCCTCGACTACCTCACCTACCTGTGTGCCCTCCTCTCCCTTGCTCGCCACCGCTGCTTCGCTTCATGCAATGTCATGCACCGCGTCATGCCATGTCATGCACCGCGTCATGCCATGAAATTTTACTCGATTCATCCCACTGGCATGCCCGCTTGCATGCCGCCCGTATGCCATGCCTTGTGCGAAATACCACCACCTAATGACCTATACCCCATACTCCACACTCTAAGCTTCGTTCCCTGCACCCCATACCATACCCATGCATGCCCCCTCCCAGCAACGTGTCGTCCAATCAGCTGTCAGGAAACATCACACCGGCCCTGTCTGCTCTGAGCTCGCTCGAAATTGTGTGAGGCTCTCGTGTGTGTGGGCAGGGGTGTGGGGCATGCCACATTGGCCATGACGCATGGGCACGGTATGGCATGACCCACCTGTATGGCATGACCCACGTGTATGAGCCATGTCTTGACATGTCAGCAGCATGCCATGTCATGACATCTGATGTCAGCAGCATGCCATGTCATGACATTTGATTTCAGCAGCATGCCATGTCATGACATTTGATTTCAGCAGCATGCCATGTCATGACATTTGATTTCAGCAGCATGCCATGTCATGACATTTGATTTCAGCAGCATGCCATGTCATGACATTTGATTTCAGCAGCATGCCATGTCATGACATTTGATTTCAGCAGCATGCCATGTCATGACATCTGATGTCAGCATAAGCCACCCACCCAAGACCCACGGCAGAGACACATGGGCATCCATCCCACTGCCCTCGCCCATGCCACTATTGCGTATGTACATCAACCATCCATGGTCCCATGACCCACAACAAGGCCATCACACTCCCACCCCTTACCCTTGCCCGTGCCATGCCATGTCATCCCGATGCCACGCCACCCCACGCCATATCATGGTAGGGACATGGCCATCATCCACCCATGTCTGCCCCCTATTCTTCCCCACGCCACCCCACGCCACCCCACGCCATGCCATGGCAGGGATATGGCCGCCAACCTGTTCTCCGGCTCGCTGCCTCCCTCCATCTTCAACCTGCGAAACCTCTCCCACCTGTCAGTCAACTTCCCTATCTGTGCTACCACCCATCATTTATTTCCAACATCAGAACAGCAGCTTGTAGCAACCAGCCATGTCATCTTGGATTCATTCATCCTCACCATCAGTCCTCGTGTAGTCTCATCTCCGCCCCTCCGCCCTCTCTCCCCCTGCCCCCTGCCACACAACTCACCATCCCAGCAACGTGTCTCGCAACCGCCTCTCAGGCCCTCTGCCCAACGCTGCTGCCAGTCCAGCTCTCATCATGTGCATATGCCCTCGTAACCACAAAAGCCCTGGTAACCACAAAAGCCCTGGTAACTATGAGATTTGTGGTTACCATTCCATTGACTCTTGCGAGAAAAAACTCCCATCCCCTTTCCCTCCTGCACCCTCCCTTGGTGCGTGTTCTCTCAACCGTCGCTTTTTCTTCTCCCATTTCCGCCCACGCACGTGTCTCTCTCTCCCTTATTCTCCCATCCATACCTCTCTCCCATATATCCCACGACATGCTCAACACGCATTCAACACGCTCCCTTTTCCGCAGCGACCTCTCATTCAATGCACTCGCAGGATCGCTGGAGAGCCGCCATTTCAATCTCAAGCGGCTGGCCTTGCTGTGAGTGCCACCATATGTCATTGCTCTTACTCTCGTCAGCCCGGTTTCTCTGCTCGTGCTGTCTTTGAGTCGTTTGTGCTCTTCTTGCTTGGCTTGCATCCCCTGCCGGGCCATCACACATGCCTCCCATTGTTTTTCGCCCACCCGCCCCCCATTCATCCATCCTCCATGAGCCCACCCTTTTGCTTTCCTGCCCGCCCAGCCCCCATTCCCCTCCTGTTTCCCGGCCGCCCATCCCTGCTCCCTGTCCCACCCCCCCTTTGCTTCCCGCCTCCCCATGCCTGCAGGGCGGTGCACCACAACGAGCTGTCAGGCCCCATCCCCGAGTACCTCTGCCAATCCGTGCTGCAGATCATGTAACGCTCGCATGCTTTAGCATTCACATGCTTTACCATTCACATGCTCTACCATCAACCCCATGTCTCCACCTGCCCACCTGCCCACCTGCCCACCAGCCCACCTTCCCACCTTCCCACCTTCCCACCTGCCCACCTTCCCACCTGCCCACCTTCCCACCTGCCCACCTTCCGATGTGCCCACCTTCCGATGTGCCCATTTGTCCCCCCCTTCCACCTGCCCCCCCTTTCACCTGCCCCCCGTTCCACCTGCCCCCCGTTCCACCTGCCCCCCTTTCCACCTGCCCCCCCTTTCCACCTGCCCCCCCTTTCACCTGCCCCCCCTTTCACCTGCCCCCCGTTCCACCTGCCCCCCGTTCCACCTGCCTGTCCGTCCACCTGCAGGCTCTTAGGCAGCAACGCTTTCTCGGGGGCCCTCCCTCAGTGTCTGCCCTTCGTCTCCTCCGTCCAACTCATGTCTGTTCGCCCTTCGCCCTTCAACCTTTGCCCTTCACCCTTCAGTTTTGCTGCCTTCGCTCATCACCCTGACGGCGCTTGTGTTCCTCTTTCCCTCCGCTGCTCCTCTTGTCACACTCTCGTTTGTAACCTTCAACCTCCAATCGTGCTGCAAATTCTGCTTCCTTACCTTCCACGCCATCTCCGCTCCTCACCTCTCCTCTCCCCCTGCTCCCCTGCTTCCAATCACTCTGCGCCTCTCTCCCAGTGACGTCAGCAACAATCTGATCTTCATGGACGCCGCAACCTTCCAAAACATGCCGCCCATCAGCCTGGACCTCAGCGGCAACTACCTCTACGGCTCCCTCTCCCCCTCCCCCAACATCACCCTCTCCTCCTCCTCCCCAACCCCACCCTTCCCTTCTCTCCTCCTCCCAGTAACCCCCCAACCCCAGTCCCTTCCCCCCTGGGCAGTCCAGGAAGTAACGACTTCTCAGTGGGTGTGGGTGGCGCAGGGGGGGCAGCAGGGGGGAACTGGGGCAGGAGGGGAGGGCGGGGGGAATAGCAGCGCAGTGGCATGGCTGGCTGTGGAAGGGAACTGTTTGGGGAGTGAGGGGGTGGGGCACCAGCGGGGGGCGGGAGAGTGTGCGGCGGTGTGTGGGATAGAGTCAGGGCAGGGACCCTGTGGGGGTGCGGGTGCGGGGCAGTGTGTGGTGCACACCGGTTGGCCGCCATCCCTCTCCTGCTCCTGTGCCAGTGGCTACGTTGCTGTCACTGCTGCCGGCACTGCCAACACCACCACTTGCGAGCTGCCCCCTCCTTCCCCTCCCGGTATGTTGATTGAATCAGTGGCTTGAGCTGCTGCCCTGCTCCACCTTCCACCGTGTACCCAACCCTCTTTGCTGCCTTCTTTAGATTCACTCCCACTCCATTTCCCTCTCTCTTAACTTCTTTAGCTTTCCCCCCCTTCCCCACCTCGTCCCCCTCCCCTCCCCCCCTCGTCCCCCCCTTTTCCCCCTCGTCCCGCCCCCTTTCCCCCCCAGTCCCTTCCCCTTATCCCCCCCCCGTCTCCCCACCTTCCCCACCGTCCCCCGCCCTTCTCCCCCGCGTCTCACCCCCCTCCATAACCATGCCATGGGGGTTTTGTTACGTTTATCACTCTTATCCGTGCCTCTAAAGTTCCCGCTAACCACCGCCCGTTCCAAACCTTGGCAGCTCTCTCTCCAAACCTCCCATTCCTTGGCAGTGGTCTCTCTGTCCACGGGCGCCATAGCGGGCATGGCGCTGGGCTGCCTTTTGAGGCGCCTCTAAAGTCCCCCTTTCCCCAAACCTCCCATTCCTTGGCAGTGGCCTCTCTGTCCACGGGTGCCATAGTGGGCATGACGGTGGGCTGCTTTGCTGGCTTCACACTGCTGGCAGCCGTGCTCGCATGGCTGCTGTGGCCCCGCGGACCAAGTGAGAGCCCCTCCTCCCTTCTTCACCTCCGTTCTGTCTCCCCTAACGCTCTACCTCTTTTCTGGCCTCCTTCTCTGCTCAACTTCCCTGCCGTTTTCCCTGCGTTTCAACTTTGCCTTTCCACCACGCTCGTGCTCTCTCCACTCACCTACACACTTAGTCACTCATTCCTCCTGGTCGCTCTCTCCCGCGTCCTCCTGTGTGCGCAGAGAAGTGGGAGGGGCTGGATGTGTGTGAGCAGTTCTCACTGCAGCAGATGCTCAAGGCCACCAACAACTGGTCCGAGGACAATGTGCTGGGCAAGGGAGGCTTTGGCGTTGTGTACAAAGGCCGCTCGCCACAGGGGCAGCTGTGGGCCATCAAGCGATCCACCATCATGACCAACGACTTTGAAACGGAGGTCAGGCATCCCGCATCTCCCTCCCTGCTTTCCGCCCACAGAGCACAGAAATGTAATGGTAACTCTCTGTTGTCTAAAATGCTGACTTGCACATTCCGTCCGTGCTCGCCTTTCCATTTCCCTCTGCATCGACCTGCACTGCGTTCCATGTCCATGTTGCAGGTGCGAGCCATGGCGTCGCTCCACCACTCGCATCTTGTGCGCCTGCTGGGATTCTGTCTGGACCAGAACGTGGAGACGGGCAAGCAGGAGCAGATCCTCGTGTACGAGTTCATCGGCAACAGGGACCTTCAGTACCACATCCATGCCACCAAGCGTGAGTTGCACTGGCGTGAGTTTCTCTGGCGTGAGTTACTCTGGCGTGAGTTACTCTGGCGTGAGTTACTCTGGCGTGAGTTGCACTGGCGTGAGTTGCACTGGCGTGAGTTGCACTGGCGTGAGTTGCACTAGCACGATGGTGAAATGGTTGCCAGGCATTTGTGTTTCTCTGCTCGCGTGAGTTGCACTGGCACGGCTGCTTAATGGTCGCCATATGCAGAGAGCATAAACACCATGTCTCATGTAATTAACCGCACGTTCTGCTCCATATACGTGTTTCGTGACCCAGGTGCGCTCTCTCTACGCCAGAGGCTGCGCCTAGCACAGGGAGCAGCAGAGGGCCTGGCGTACCTACACGGGTTCGACACAACCATTGTTCACCGCGACATCAAGCCGGCCAACATCCTTGTGACTGCCGACATGCAAGCCAAGGTGGCTGACTTTGGACTACTCAAGCGCCTCACTCACGGCGATGCTGATGCCACGCGAGTGGCCGGCACTCCTGGCTATGTGGACCCGGACTACAACCGCACCAACGTCATCACGGCCAAGAGCGATGCGTTCAGGTCAGCATCGCATGCATGCTCGTTCCTTTGCACAGTGCCATGAACTTGTGCGCGTCACTTGTTTTCCAGTTTGCTTTTGAGTCGAGTCGACTCAAAAGCAGGTTCACATCACATGCATGCTTGTTCCTTTGCACAATGCTATGAACTTGTGCACCTCACTTGTTTTCCACCTCACTTGTTTTCTTATCTTCCTGGTTGTCTTTGAATACTTGTACCCTGTACCTCTCTCTTTCCTTTTCCAAGTTTATTCCTCTGTCTCCAATGCATGATTGCGTGCAGCTTTGGAATCGTGCTTCTTGAGTTGCTGAGTGGAAAGTCACCCCAAGTTGACACAAAAACGCATATAAGCAAATGGGTACGGTCGTCAACTACGAAATCCAAGTTTCCAGTTGGCGCAAATATGAATGTTGCATATCAGAGAATGTTTGTGCCCTTCACATCTCAAATATGTTTCTTCATTCGTTTCATGGCCGCACGTTAATTCTATATTCCCATTATTTCTGGATATCACAGCCTTTTCTTGCTGTCATGCTACCTTGCACCACATTTCCTGCTGATCATGCTAATTTTCACCGCCTCTCCCATTCATCATCCTTTCCTTGTGTGGATCCTCCAGGCAATGAAGAGGGTGGAGGCGTATAATCTAGAGGAGCTGAGGGACAGCAAGATGCCAGCAGTCAGTGAAGAGGCCATAGTGGAGTTTGCCGACCTGGCTCTGGACTGCATCAAGTCTCCCGGCACACGGCGACCCACCATGAAGGATGTGGCATACCGCCGCAGTGCCCTCATTGCCAAGCACTGCCCTGACAGGGAGGACGAGTGGGAGAGTGTTGCAAGAGAAGAGAGTGCCGAGGGTGTGCCTTCAAGGGATGTTTCTGCTGTGTCGTTTGGAGATGGTGGGGGTGGCTCACAGTCTGGTGTGAGCTCATTTGTGCGTGTTGGCTCGATAGGTGATGGCCTACGGAGTTGGCTGCAATTGAAGCCAACCAAAGGGCGCTGAGTTTGGTCATTATGCCTACATGTGACCTATTTAGCACGGAACTGCGGTATAGGTGCAGTACAGCAGCACTAGGGTCAGGCGGCCTCTGGACAGGATTTGAGCTGCTCTCCATGAGTCCAGGATCCTCATTTTACCTTTTCAAAAGGGTATCTTACGATAACCCCTTTTTTATCAGCTTTGTTGCAGCAAAGCAGAAATGAGTCAAGTCATAGACGACCTACAAGGTTCTTGAGTTTTTGGCTCGAATTACGATAACCCCTTTTTTTATCAGTTTTGTTGCAGCAAAGCAGAAATGAGTCAAGTCATAGACGACCTACAAGGTTCTTGAGTTTTTTGCTCGAATTCGCATCACAAACTGCTTTAGCGCGTATGCCGCTAAACCCAACTGGTTTGGTTCGGACATCTTGAACGTTGTCTTTCTTCCTCAATGTTGCGTTCTTTCCGAACGAACCTCGCCTCGCCGTATCTACAAGTCTCCTTACCAACCAGCCGCCCCAAGCCGAACTTGCCTTGGGTTCGCGTCGCATGCCCTGACCTGGCTGAGATTGGTTTGGGGGGACTGCCGCCATATTACCGCAGCTGGCAGCAAGACTTTTTCCTCACTTGGAAACCGAACCTACAATACACCCACACCACTTGCTCTGCCGTGTCGTCGTGAATAGACTGACTTGTTCAATCTCGCAGGCAAGGAGGAACTATGGCTGTCTGAGCTTACACGAAACTGTAGTGTTTTGCCAAGTTTCTGTGAAATGGCAATCCTGACTTCACAGAAAGTGACTTCTGAACATGTTTGGTCGTCGTCGTGCCAGGTCGTTGAAGGATGCACTGCGATTAGCGAGTGCATTATCGTCCACTGTCGCAGAGGGGACTCGTACACGATAATGCGGTCGCTGGTCACAAAGTGCCTAGAGTGCCTGTTGGCATAGCTCACTTCGCCTGACAGAGCACTGTGCGTTAGTGCACCACCGACGGCGCAACCACATGCGCTTTGGCGTGCTGCACAGACGCTTTGAGAAAGAATCACGGATCCCGCTAATTCTCCTTGGAACGTTAGGAGACGGTTGTTAGGAGCTGAAGCTGTACTGGGCTGGAAGTGACAGGAAAGTCTCCGATTTAGACGCTTGTGTCACGTTCTTGCTGGCTTGACTCCTACCCGCTCGCTGCAAGGACGAGTCTTTGGAATGAAAGCTTTGATTTTCCAAGCTGTGGTTACTTTACATCACACCGGATTTTGCACATCACACCGGATTTTGCACATCACATTGGATCTTGCAGCCTGATAGTCTGACACTCCACAAGCGAATTCTGATACGGACCAATCTCGGCTTTTGAAGTCGTTGCCAATAGTGCGTAAACGTTCACCCAACTCCGCGCAGACGTCGATTCAGTATCCGTTACCCTTATGATTCGCAACTCGGGTGGATCAATGGCGGCTTTCAAGGGAAGCGCCTTGGCGGTAGCGGCGGTGCTTCAGCTGCTGCTACTACTGGCGGGTAACGCCGTGCCGTCCTTGGGTCAGGACACCAGCCTGCAGCAGTGCTTCTGGCCGCTCAACTCCACGGAGGGTACTAAGCTCCCTATCGCGCATGTCGGCTTCCTTTCATGCAATATCGGCTTCGTTTCGCGCTTGTTCGTCCTTTGTCTCTCAGCGTTTCACGCAATGTCAGCTTCGGTCCTCAGTATCTCAAGCCATGACGGGTTCGCTTCTCAGTATTTTAAGCCATGTCGGTTTCGCTTTTCAGTATTTCACGCTATGTCAGCTTGGTATCGCACGATCTTAGCTCATTTCCAATATGCGACGTAATATCGCTCTCACGCGTTCCCACCTGTAACTTCCAATATATCAAGCAATGCCGCTTTCTTTTTTATATTTCACGCAATGTCGGCTGCGCTCATCCTGTATCAGCTTGGTCAAGTGCAATTTTAGCGCGCTTTTGCTACGCAACTGAAGCGCACTCTCACGCGTTCAGTACTGTATCGTGTTTCGTCTGGTGGCTTGGCAGCGGAAATTCTGGCAAGCGTGGCAGCGAATCTGGACTACTTTCCGTACGACATCTCCTTCATCACCACCTGCGTCAATATCGGTCTCACCTGCAGCGACGCTGGCTACGTTACTCAAATGTCAGTGCTGCTGCTGCTCCTGCTACTCATGCCATTGCTGGTGCTAATGCCTATGTTTGGGTAGTTTTGCTGTTGAAATAGCAGGAGGAGTACGAGGTGTGTGTGAGTGACGCTTTCTTGCCACGTCGTGTGGCGGTTGTGCGTGCAGCAATTGGCAGTACAAGGCAATTCAAGGGGAGCTGCCTTCACAGATTTTCCAGCTGAGGCACCTTGAATACCTGTGAGGATCTGCGCTTGATGCACCTTGAATACCTGATGGATGCTTCAAGCCACTGAAAGCTGCATATGTCAGGACAGGCCTGCTGCGCGTTGAATCATGCGCCATCAGCTCAACGCATACCAACCGTTTACAGAAACTAACCGTGATGTCATACAATACGTGCGTTTTCAACCTGCCATGCCATGCCATGCCATGTCATGCCTTGCCGTGCCATGCCAAAACGTGCCATACAATGCCATGCCATGCCGTGCCATGCCATGCATGCAAAGAACGCTGATGTGTGAGCTATTCGCAGGTCTCTGCGAGACAACTACCTGCGTGGATCCATCCCCACTGAAATCGGCAACCTCGTCAATCTCACATACCTGTCAGTTCGCTTTGCCACTCTCTCAGTTAACTTCACTTCGCCCCTCTTTCAGTTAACAACGCCCCTCTGTCAGTTATCCTCGCCCGTCTGACAGTCGACCTCACCTTTCTGTTAGTGCTGGCAACGGCTAATGGTTTCTCTGATTGGTTTATCTATGACTCATTTGTGAATGCATGTGCGTGTGTGTGCGTGCCTGCTTGCGTGCATGTGTGTGTGCCTATGCATGTGTGAGTGTATCTGTGTGCGTGCATTTGTGCGAGTGTGTGCGTGCATGTTTGCACGCTTGTGTGCGAGTGTGTGGATGCATGTGTGTGTGCGAGCGAGTGTGTGTGTGTGTGTGTGCATGCATGCGTGTGTGCGAGTGTGAGTGACATGCATGCATGGCAGGGACATCTCCAACAACTCCTTCTCAGGCCCCTTCCCCACCTTCTTCAGCAGACTCACCAAGCTCTCCTACCTGTCAGTTAACAAACCGTCTCAGTCAACAATTCTTACCTGTCAGTCAACGATTTCTCTCGGTCAGTCACATTTTCGTCCCCATCAGTCACGTTTTCGTATCTGTCAGTCAAGCATCCCCATGTGTCAGCCATCCATTTCCACCTGCTGGTTGGGCAGCAGTTGGCTCTACCCGCTCCTATGTCCTGCCATGCCATGCCATGCCGTGCCATGCCATACCCTGCCATGACATGCCATCCCATCCCATGTCCTGCCATGCCATGCCACGGCCCCCCCCCCACCCACCAGGTACATGCGGGATAACGAGTTTTCCGGCAGCATTCCGGATGCCATCGCCAACATGGTCTCTCTCGGCGACCTGTATGTCTGCCACCCAGCATGTATGTGTGCCGCCCGGCATGTATGTGTGCCGCCCGGCATGTATGTGTGCCGCCCGGCATGTATGTGTGCCGCCCGGCATGCATGTGTGCCGCCCGGCATTCATGTGTGCCGCCCGGCATTCATGTGTGCCACCCGTCATGATCGTGTGCCGCCCGGCATGTACGTGTGCCACCCGGCATGTATGTGTGCCGCCCGGCATGTACGTGTGTCGCCCGGCATGTACGTATGCCGCCCAGCATGAACGTGTGCCGCCCGGCATGTACGTGTGCCGCCCAGCATGTACGTGTGCCGCCCGGCATGTATGTGCGCTGCCAAGCATCCACGTCCACACCTCGTCCTCCCTCTCCCTTTGCATTCTCACCTTCCAAACTCCCATGCTGTCCCTCACTTCTCTGTCCCTCACTTCTCTGTCCCTCACTTCTCTGTCCCTCACTTCTCTGTCCCTCACTTCTCTGTCCCTCACTTCTCTGTCCCTCACTTCTCTGTCCCTCACTTCGCTGTCCCTCACTTCTCTGTCCCTCACTTCTCTGTCCCTCACTTCTCTGTCCCTCCCTTCCCTCCTCTTCCTCTGCCTCCATAGGGACCTGAGCTACAATGCCTTGACATGTTTTGAGGCGTCTCAACAATCATCCTGTTTTGAGACGTCTCAAAAGTCGTCCTCTCTCTCCTCTCCCTCCTCTGCCTCCACAGGGACCTCAGCTACAACGCCCTCACAGGGTCACTGCCCTCTCGCATTGGGCGACTCACCAACCTCTTCAACTTGTGAGCCACCTGCCACAATGTGTCATCGCTGAGTGACCATGTGAGCGAATTTGAGACGGCTCAAAAGTCGCCGCTGCAAGGACGTGAGTGAGAATGCCTTTAGGAGGTCACTGCTCGCCATGCAAGGGCCAGGGCTACTCCCCTCTGCAATGGGGCGCCTCACTGACCTCTACAACGTGTGAGCCACCTGCCACGTATCTGCATCTCTGAGCGACCATGTGAGTGAGCGGCCCCGGTACAGCACTTGCTATCGTCGTCACCTCTGCAGCCCGTGTGAAGGCTTGTCCCAGCCGTCAGCTTTCAACAACCTTCCCTCTAACATCGTACTTTATCTCAATCATGGTCATCTCAGCCCCATGCATTCAGAGCCCTCACACACGGTTATTCTTGAGAGCAAAGCAGGGGATGCTCAACTCAAGATGCAACATGCGTGTGGCGTGTGTGTGGCGTGTGTGTGGCTTGTGTGTGGCGTGTGTGTGTGTGCAGAGCCCTGTCACACAACCAGCTGTCAGGGTCCCTCCCCAACTCCTTCTCCACCATGGCCAGTCTCGGCTCCATGTGAGTCTCACCTCCATGCCATGCCATCCCATGCCATGCCATGCCATGCCATGCCATGCCATGCCATCCCATGCCATGCCATGCCATGCCATGCCATGCCATCCCATGCCATGCCATGCCATGCCATGCCATCCCATGCCATGCCATGCCATGCCATCCCATGCCATGCCATGCCATCCCATGCCATGCCATGCCATGCCATGCCAT